AATATAGTTGAATCAGAGAAGAAGACAAATTTGTATATACCCAAATAATATACAAATATACCATTTTGGTATACAATTCATTTCAACTATATACCCTATTAGTATAGCTATATACTATCTTGGTATCATGTGCTAGTTGAATCAATATTTGGTTGTATTAGCTGTATTTAATTGGTACAATATTTGATTTTCTTTTAATAATAGTAATATAGTACAATTTCTTGAAATACTTATTATATTAATATGTGGTACACTATTTTTTTATTTTTGTCTTTATTCATGTGTGTTATGTAATAGTAGTATAGTCATATAGTTGCCGGAAATTAACCAGTAAAACGGTATACCATGTTGGTATAGTTATATGCCATATTGGTATCATATGGTAGTTTGAACATTATTTTGGTTGTTTTAGCTGCATTTAAGTGAATTCTATTATGAAATTATTTATATGAACATGATTTGCAGTGCTGGAATTTTTGTGTGCCGATGGACATAGATTATGTGTATTATGTAATATTTTTATAGTTATAGGCAATTATTGGAACGACCCCATACAACTATATACCATGTTAGTATATGGAATGAGCAAGTTGTTTGGCGAATATTTAGCTTGCAATACGAGCATGTGATTTTCTCATACTTTTATTGCGTCCTTTAATGCTTTGGTACAGTAGTATAGTCACAGATAGTTGTAGCAATATTCTAGAGCAATCATATGCTCTATTGGTATTCATATATACTAAATTGGTATCACATAGTACTAGAAGTCTTTTTTGCTACTTATACTTTTATTACATTTTCAATATTTTATAATCATTTTTTTTCTAACTAGTATATATAGATTTGGTTGCTGTAGATTATGTTTTCTTGCTCTATAACTGGTTGTATTACTGCTAATGGTAGAGTGTGTAATGATATTTGTAGGGAAGGAGATCAAGGTTTACATGAGAATCACGTGTTGATTCTTAGAATCTAATTATATAATTTATGGTGGTGAATTAGATCAAGTGACAACTGATATTATTTCAGTTTGATAATTGAATTTGAAAAATAAAAAAGAAAAAAAAAACAAAAGGTATATTGTACTAGTTACATTAAAAAAAGGTGAACAAATATTTATAATATCAGTTATTTTTTCTTATTGTATAAAAAAAAAGAATAATAAAAATAGTGAAAACAGTAAATGAAATTAGATTATGAAGAGAAAAAGAATATAATAAAAAAGAAGTTAAATGAAATTAAAAAAAAATAAAAAATAAAAAGAAAACGAGAAAAAAGAAAAGGAGAAGAGAAAGAAAAAAAGGAAAAAGAAAAAAATCATAGAAATAAAAAAGAATTGGAGAAAAAAGAAAAAATTCCCCACAAAAACTACTATGAGTAGGAAATGTAATTAGTTTGATGGGTAGGAAAATAAATGGATAGACAAGGGTAAATAGTTTTATTTTTGTAGATAACTATATTATTTTCCTTTTTTTTTTTTTTCTGTTTCTCCAAAATTACTTCTGCTTCTCCCAAAATTAATTTTAAAAAAACGCAATTTTGACAAAAAAAAGCTTTTGCCTCTTAAGAAATTTGTCCAAACAGGCTATTAACGTCAGTTAGTGGGAAGTGCAGGAGCAAACGAGCTAGAGAAGTTGATACCAATGAATATAGCTATACCAAATTATACTTAATAGCCATTATAGCTATTCCAATACACACTAACTATTTCAAAATAGGAAACTAATTAGTCATCGAAGATATCCCCTTGTTCTTTTTTTCTCGTTTTAATTACATTAAAAATTGTTTATTAATGTAACCATCCAAGTGACTGAAAGAAAAAAGGCACTACATATCTGTAAACATAATAACTTCAATCACTACCTGTACAGAAATTTCTACACACAAGAGTCACAAAATGTAACTTCATTAAAAGAATTTATAAATTATTAAACATTAAATAGTAGCCTTCTTTTTTCAAAGTTATTTTGAGGCTCAGATCTGTATGACAAGGGCAAAAGAGACGAAGCAACCGCCATGGCTGCAAACCTCAGTTGCACTTTAAAATCAGCCTTCCGGGTCGCCCCGCCAAGATACGGGCCGCTCTATTTGCCCCGACGAACTCTAGACAATCTTAATCATCACAGCCTCTAATAATAATAATAATATCGACCATTGTGAAAACGTTTTCAGGATTCAACGCCGGCTGATAATGAAGAAGAAAAAGAAGCAGAAAGGGCAGCCCAGGGTATGCAAGCATTAGTAGCTGATTTCACGGTTTGAATCCGTGACCTAAAGATCTTTACCATTATTTGGTTGCGGAATCTATGAATGGTGGTTTATTTTTACATTATTGTTTTGTGAAAATGGAAAAAGGAAATCATAGGCAAAAAGAACAGAGAGGGGGCAACCACCATTACAGACTTCCGTCTAGAGTTCGTCAAATATCTCTTTGGTTGCGAAGAGAGAATTTATAGTACCCTAAAGTTTCCTCTTTTTACTCTTATGTCCATGGATTTAGCTGGTATTTACAAATATTGAGGACCGGATGAATTTAGTCTGTAAGGGTAATTTAGTCATTTAGGGGTAAAAATATCATGTTCTTTCCGTAGGGGTCACGGGTTCCAATTATGAAAATAGCCTAATGATATAGGCTAAAACTGGTTACAATAGACTCCGGCCCTTCTCCGAACCCCTAAGCTTAGTGAACACGAATTAGTTATTCCTTCCGTTTCAATTTAAGTATTTTACCTTTCATTTTATTTTGGTATTTGGCTTTACACAATCAAAAGTAACTTGAGGTCCCGTTTCAATTTAAGTATTTTACCTTTCATTTTATTTTGGTATTTGGCTTTACACAATCAAAAGTAACTTGATAGTACCTCAGGAACGATTGAGGCATAGTTGATTGATTGCCTTGAGGATAATTAAATATTTCTATTGCTGAAGTTACTTGAATTGTCAGTAGTTTTATGACTTTATCTCTTTTTTGCTCTTTTTGTTTTAATAATCTTCAAGTTGAACATTACAAAACTTCTCGTTCCAAAATGACGTTGTCGAATCAAGGGAGTCATTTCTATGATAAATTTAATGTGAAATTAAACTTTTTGTAATTATGTCATTTGCACACCAAAGAAGGCAGAGGTTGGGAAAGATTGTGTTTAGTCAATGTAGCATGGCTTTGCATTATAATTTTCATTTGACTTGAGCGACTGAACAAACTTAAAATTGGGAAGCCAAGGCAATTGTGCTAAAATATTTCCCATCTAGTTTGACTACTGGTTATCTGTATTTTTTGTGTGGCTTTGGCTCATTCAGTTTGCTGGAACTGCTTGATGCAAACATGGGCAGAGCTAGCCCAACAGCTACGGGTTCGGTCGAATCCACTAGCTTTGATTCAAATTCTGTATTTGTCTTGAAAAACTTATTAAATATGCACTAATTATTATTTAGAACCCAATAACTTAAAAGGATTAGAATCCTGAATCCACAAGCTTCAAACTCTGGCTCCACTTCTGGATGCAAACTACGATTAATGAACCGGTTCAAAAGTCTTGAGTGAATTAAGTGATGCATGTTAGAACTTCTCAAAAACTTTGTGCTTAACTTGTGTTTGAGCCGCAAGTGTGTTGGAATATTTAGAGAACATGCATTCTTTTCTCTTAAATCGCTGCAATCTGTGTATATATGCACGATCAGAACTATGATAAGGAGAATTAGCTTATAGTACTATGCACCTTTCCTCAGTTTAACAGTCTATTGCAGAAATGCAGGGTAAGGCGAATAATAGCGGGAGCTTATTGCACCGGGCCGAATAATGAAATTTTCGTGCATCTGCTAACTATGGACACGGCTTTTCCATCTCGTCTTTTTCTGGTGGTAACTGGCTTATTCTTAGAGGATAGTTGAAATTTTACTTTTTTCTCTATGGCAAAGAAGGATCGGGAAGAATATAAAGTAGAGACAAACAAGAAAACTTGAGGGGATGGCATTAGCAAACTATGCCTTTTCGAAGATGGAGAAACCGATGAAATGGCATTTTGGAAAGATCTGGTGAAAGTGACAGATGGTGTAAGAAAGACATACCGAGTATGTGCATACATATTTCCTTGTATTTGCAGCAAGGTAAGTACAAAAATTGACATATTTTACCCCTTGACTTTATTGAATGAGCTTTGTTTTATAATCTCAAGGGTGTAAAATGGTGCATTGTTTTAACATTTCTGACGTAGAAGTACACAGTTTAGGTTAAGTAAAGAATTCTTAAATTGTTTAAAGTATAGAGAAACTATAGACAAGAATGAGAAAAAGAAGAAGCAGAGTGAACTATGAACATGCAGAGACTGTTCTGCCCCAGAAAATGCAATTGGCTTTGTGGAGGAACAGAACGTGAGAAATATAGAGGATGAGAAGTGGAAATAACAAACCAGCGCACTAATCTTGAATTATACCTATTTTCAAATGCAAAAGGAAAACTAGAAAATAAATAGGAAAAAGAAAAGGAAAGTGAAGATCAAGAACTTATTGTGAATTCGGTTACACAAACTTGCACAATGTGTTAATTATTTGAACCCAAATGCTGCATTCTCAGTGATACTTTCCAATCAACTAGAAACTTGTGATATTCTTTCAGGTGCATAGGAATAAGGGAATATGTTAAAAATTGTTCTGGTGAAGCGATAACATGAAAATGATTGCTTTTATCGCTTGTGCAATGTGCACTATTAATCTGAGGTCTGTATCTTGATAATATGTTATAGCTTGGAAAAGAAAACAGAAAAAGATATGGAGCCTTTGCTCATATAAATCCTGAAGAGCAAGAAAATTTTCCATTTTCTTTCTCTTTTGAAAATTTCCAGCACCTATGAAATGGATATACATGAACTTACCAGAATGTACAAAAAATGGAATATAAGAAAAGCAGTATACTCAATCCTTTGGAGAGGTGAACTTTTCGGAGAACTGCCAAAAGGATCTGCACTAGGAGATTGCCTTTTCTTTCGTTTATATTTGAAAATCTATTAACTACTTGCTAAAGCCAGAATTGTATGTTGTACACTCCTGACTGATGAATTGTCGCAAGAAGAAGATCGAGAAGAAAATTTGGAAGCTGCTATTGACATACTCATATCTTTCTGTATTTGCCTTTTGGGACATGTTATATTCCTACTGTGTACACAAGTGGTTGGTTGTTCCCCCTTCTGTTTGTGCAATGCACAACTGCAGTTTTTATGATAAGGCCGTCTCTCCTTATCCATGTCTGACATCGACAAGCTTCCATCAAAGACGCACTGTAGCATAATTTCAGCTGCTACAGTCGCCATTTTCTCCTCTCTCCTCTTCCTTGCTATAAAAGGTATCTAATGGTGTTTTAGTAGTGAGGCAATGTGCTTATGCCCGTATCGAAGTTTGATTCTCCTTAAAAACACTTTATATCTGTTTAACTGTTTATATAGAGATAGTAAGCGTTGATTTATGTGCTCAGCTTAGGGAATTTGGTAGAATCAAGGGTGAAAAGGATTCTCTAGAATTCAAAAAGTTCTTGTAACAATGTTCTTGTGCATGTTGTTACCTTATTATCAATGATCACAGGCGTTTCTTCCTATGATTCTTTTTTGTTCAGTCTGCAGTCTTTTCTAATGTCTGCACATACTGGTCTGTTCCATATATGTACTTGTTAGAGGAAAGAGTACTTATATTCTCTTATTGTCTTATGCTTGTGGTTGATAGTTCATTGGTGGATAAATTATATGTTTAATTTAGTTACTGGTGTGTCCAGTGAACTAAGCAGACTAGTTATATGGTTTTTATTTTAACTGCCCATTCTGCGCTGCTAATATTGAAAAAGTTGTACCTTTATGCCTGTTTGTCTTATATCTTTGTCTCTTCCCCTTTTTTTTTTGGTAATTAATCACTTTTATATTAATCACCTGTAAAACTGTACAAACCATAGCATCGCTTACACAACTAGCTATCTCATTACAAAAACTCATCTGCTATATCCTATCCTTCTCTATACATTCATAAGAAAATATAACTATGAACTACATTTTGAATACTAGCAGTAGCTCTAACGGTACATGTGTACGCTATCTCTCGAGCAATACTATTCCAATCACGTGCCCTTTTTTCAAAGATTCTCAAATTTCTCTCAATCCAAATAGCATGAACTATTTCTGCATATACCAGTCTGAATATTCTTGCTTTTGTGGTCTTGCCTTTAGCATGCTGTATACTCCAGCCCATATGCTGCTCCCAGTTCTGCTTCCTTGTATAATCATGCTGCATCCATTGCATAAGCTTCATCCATATGTTCCTAGCAAAATCACACGTGACAAACAAATGATCTCTATTCTCCTCATGGTTGTGACATAAAGAACATTCTGTATCCACTGTCAATCCCCACTTGATCAATCTATCTGTGGTTGGGAGTCTTCCATGTAATAGCATCCACATAGTATACTGTGCTTTTGACCTCGCACAGTTCTGAAATATTAGACATTTCCACGGCACTCGAGTTTGTTGTCCCAGCAACTGAAAGTATATATGTCGAGTAGTAATAGTGGCCTGTTTATTCCTCTGCACCAGATTGTAATCAGCTCTAGCATTGAAGATTTGTCTGAGCATCCAACAGGCTTGCTTGGGAGCTGGCATTTGCATGAATTGTTGCCCTTTGATATAATAAGAATGGATCCATTTAATCCACAACCTATCTTGTTTTGCTTCCACATCCCAGCATATTTTTGCAATAGCTGCTCTATTCCATATATGAATATTCACCAAATTTAGACCACCACAGGATTTAGGAGAGCACATCTTTTCCCAAGATATCAATGCCTTCTTAGTTATGGTATTGGTTGCTGACCATATATAACTTCGACAATATGCATCAATAGTTTTAAGTACCTTGACTGGTAAGGGTAGAATCTGAGCCCAGTATGCTTGTACTCCAAAAATGACACTTTGAACTAGTTGTACTCTTCTTGCATATGATAGTTTCTTAGCTGTCCATGAGGATATTCTTGCTACTATTTTCTGAATGAGTGGCTGCTATTGGATCATTGATATCTTTTTTGTTGACAGGGGAATGCCTAGATATTTGAAAGGCATTTCCCCTTGTCCATACCCTAGATGCAGTAAGATTTTATCTCTTTCATATCTTGGTACCCCTCCAAAATACACTGAACTCTTCCCCATATTTGCTTGCAGTCCTGAAGCTTGAGCAAAGTGTTTGAAGCATCTGTGCATAGCCTTTACTGATGATATGTCTCCTCTTGCAAATAGCAGTAGGTCATCAGCAAAACTTAGGTGTGTAATACCAAGTTTGGCACATTTTGGATGGTATCTGAACTCTTTGTCCTCCTTTAATCCATGAAGACTCCTACTGAGATATTCCATGGCAATGGCAAATAGGAAGGGTGATATGGGATCCCCTTGCCTGAGCCCTTTTTTTGCATCAAAAGGGGTAGTAGTCTCTCCATTGATCAGGATAGTGTAATTGACTATTTTGACACACTCCATGATCCAGCTGATGAATTGAACAGGGAAGCCCAAACTTTCCATTACCTGCTCCAAGTAGATCCACTCCACTGAGTCATAGGCTTTCTGTAAGTCTATCTTAATCATGCATCTATCTGAGATGTGTTTCCTTGTGTAAGCTTTAACCAATTCATGAGCCATGATAATATTATCTGCAATTCTCCTCCCAGGTATAAATCCTGCCTGATTTTCACTAATGATGCTAGCAATAACCTTCTGCATTCTTGCTGCTAGTATTTTGGAGATCATCTTATAGAGTAGAGTACAACAAGCAATAGGTCTAAAGTCTTTCACTGTGACTGGCTTGTCCACCTTTGGAATTAGTGTGAGGGTAGTGCAATTAAGTGCCTTATACAGTCTCCCAGTACTAAAGAATTCCTTAACAGCTTCACAGATCTCCACTTTGATAACAGGCCATGTCTTCTTGAAAAAGCAAGCATTGTAACCATCTACTCCTGGAGCTTTGTCCTCCCCTATATTCTGCAGTCCTTCAAATATTTCTTGATCAGATATTTCTGCAACTAGTTGCCTTCTTTGCTGTTGGGATAGCACAGGCCCTTGCTTCATGATCTCCCTATTTATTGAGGGTAGATTTGTTGCTGCAGTCCCCATCAATGATTTGTAGAATTCAATGATTTCCTGTTTGATCTTATCAGCATCATTCAGCTTCTGACCATCTAGGGCTGTGAGTTCTTTAATCTGCTTCCTTTGATTTCTCTCCTTCAACATAGCAGAGAAGTATTTGGAGTTAGAATCCCCAAGCTTAATCCATCTTGCTCTAGACTTTTGCTTTAGGACACTTTCCTCTATAAGAGACCATTTTTCCAGCTGATGAAGGGCATTTTTCTCTTGCTCCAGCAGGCCATCAGTATAGTTAGTGATAATCCTCTCTTGTATCTCTTGTAGTTCTCCACGAGCCCTATCAATCTTGTAAGCAATAGATCTAAACTCCTCATTATTTAAGGTTTTAAGTCTAGCTTTCAAGGTTTTCAATTTCAACCATATATTCTGCATTCTCCACTTTGTCACATTCTGCTCCCATACTTCTTGCACTATTTGTACAAACCTGCTATGATCTGCCCAAACATTTAGAAATCTGAATGGAATTTTGCCTGGCCTTGAATTCATGAATATTGAAAGGAGCATAGGTGAATGATCAGATATTTGAGGCAAATCATATTCATTTTGAACCTGTCCCCATTGCATCATCCACTCAAAATTTCCAAACATCCTATCAATTCTGCTTCTGATTCTGTCAGTGCCATCTTGTTTGTTCGACCAAGTGTAGTAATCACCCTTCCATAGCAATTCACTCAACTGCAGAGTTTGAATGCAGTTAGCAAAATCTTGAGTTTCAGCATATGTTATAGGATTGCCCATTAGTCTATCTTGGGAATATAGAACTGCATTGAAATCTCCTCCAATTAACCAAGGAGTGGTTATGTTTGCAGCCATTTTATGAACCTCTGCCCATAGTGCCTTCCTTTGCTCAATTGTGTTATGTCCATAGACTACTGTTATTAGGCAGTCTATCTTTCCTACATTATCTGTAATTTGACAATGCACATATTGATCCCCAGCTTTGAGTAACTTCACACTATACCATCTTGGATCCCATAATACCCACACCCTACCATTTTGAGCATATTGGTAGTTATTTATCCCTTCCCAATCAGGTGCAATAGCTTTAGTAACTCTCTTGAAATTGTGTTCTTTCACTCTGGTTTCCATTAGGCCAGCTATCTTGACATTTTTGCTTTTGATATAGTTAGCCAATTCCTTCTGTTTATACCTCTTATTGACTCCCCTCACATTCCAGAATAGCCAATTAGTTAGCATGTTAGGTGTCCTCCTCCCCTGTCAAGGGGTAATTGTTGCACATCCCCAGTTCCATATGGTAGCACCGCAAATGGATTTCTCAGTTTTACAGTAGACAATAGTGGAAAGTTTGTGAAGTTAAACTCAGGACTGCACTCCACTTGTTTCCCTCGATTGTGGTTACTCAGTATAACTTTACTTAGGCTACTTGGTAGTGCTGTCTCATATTGTCCTTGGCTACTTTCAGGCCTGGACTTTGCTGAGATGATTGCCTTCTGTTGAACCTCTGTTGCCTGTTGTTGCATCTGTTGCTCAACTGGTATGGATTGTACAGATTGAGTATCATTTTGCTGCACCTTTCCTTTAATTCTCCATTCCATAGTCACTTTCTTAGTCTCCCTTGCTTTGCCTTTTTGATTAATCTGCTGCTTACCCTCCTGCTTAGTACCTGTACCATGAGGAGCACATGAGTGGCCAACCTTTTGACAGTGCTCACAGAATTTAGGCTTCCACTCATAGTAGACATCTTGCAAGAATTGTTTCCCCTTTGGATCTCTAACCCAGATTTCTTCCTTCAAAGGTCTAGTCACATTAACCTCTATCAACATTCTAGCATATGAGATCCTGGTTTTCTTAGTTGTGCATTCATCAGCAAAAATAGGGGTTCCAACTGCACTTGCTATTCTACTCAATGAGTTAACTCCCCAGCAATTCAATGGTAATTTTGGAAAATTAACCCATAGGGGAATTTCAGTGGGAAATTCCTCTTTAAAATCAAACTCTGCAGTCCAGGGCTTCAAAATTATAGGCCTATTGTTAATTGTATACGGTCCAGAATAGTAAATCTCTTTCATATCAGCTTCAGAGTGAAATCTGATGATGTAATAACCTTCCTCATGAAGAAATACATCTGGTTCCCTCACACTTGCCCAATTAACATTTATATATCTCTTCATAGTGTTGTATC